GGCTGTGTATCACATCAGGGTGCCAAGTAAAGTTAAGCTCTAGGTTTTTCTACAAAATTTGTTAGCTTTTTCAAATGAGGACACCTCAAATTCCCTTTTATTCTTTAGCCTATTACAAAAGCATACRTTTCTAAGGAAAATCTGTGTATCTGTAGGATTTAAACAAATCTTTGAAACCAATTTATGACAACAGTATCATTTCCACCTTTCTCAAAAGTAAGCACTTATTTTTTCAGTTTACACAATCAGCAAAGCATTCAGATTAAGTATTTGATATTGATTGTAAAGCTTAATATCTCAAAACCATTGCATTTTGTTTCAAAGGGCTTTTCAACTACCATGCAGAACTTTTTTGAAAACGGACATGTAATGTATATCACAGCATGCTCCTGCTCTACATATATACAATACTTGTTTTGGATTACAAAGTGAACTGAATAACCATCTCAAAGTGTTCCAGTGAAGATATGCACATTCATTACTCTGCCTACTAACGTTTCTCTTATACAGTGTGTTGATACAATAGTTATGCTGCCATGAGAGTATTGATCCAAAAATCCTTCACCGACTTTAAAGATAATACAGGCAACTTAACTGCACTAATGCTCACAGTTTATTACAATTTCAGTCTTCTCAGTCTAAGACAGCCTTTTTTCCACCACTTGGGCTAATTAACTTTGAGTCCTTATCAATCAATACAACTATTYAATGGCCACATACTAGCCCATGCAGACTTGAGTTCAAGATTTCCATGCTGTTTAGCCACTGTAAAATATACAAAGATTAGCATTTAAAAAGTGCAAATAAACAATTTCAAAATAACACAGATTATTCCAACATGACTTGTAATTACTTGGTGCAAGTGGTGTTTGCTTTCCTTTCTACATAATTATGCAAGCATGAGGAAGTCAATAACTGCCTCTGATCATTTGTTCAAACTGCAACATCAGGAAGGAATTTGAGAAAGTAATTTTTCACAATATAAAAATAAGTTATAGGGGAAAACCACCTCTTAAGACTTACCTGTACTCCTGCCTCACCACAAAAACTATTCTAATGTTACTCTTCCTTTAGAAATCTCCATTTCTGTTGTAATTCAAATAGTTAACCAGAAAGTGAAAGGTCACTACATTCCATGACTGGTTTCCAGCCTGCATAGAACCAATGGGACTTTCAACTGACTTGTGCTCAAAGTTGGAAAACAGTGGCTGAAAAGTTTACTAGATGTTTTGCTTTTGTCCTCTGCCATATTGGCAGAGAATATGAGAAATGGTCTGGCACACTTTAAGGGAAAGCAGCTACAGCATCAGTGTGCACCACTGATCTMTGTGGGTAGCTAGAGAGGTCACTAGGACAGACTACTGAAACAAAAACATAAATTCAAGATGAATTAAAACCGAAACAAAACAAAAAGTGTATGCATGGCTTTCTTAATTCGCTAGTGTGGCAACTTTGAGCAACCACTCAGGAACATGTACTCTACCAAATAGAAATAACAACCATTAAATACTTTGTACTTTACAGACTGAAAAACATTAACATGCAAATAGTATCAAAACATTTAAACAATCATTTCAGATACCTTAATTCATAGGACATTGCTTTAGCTTCTGGGACATCTACTTTTTTGATCTACAGTCGGCAATGAACTTTTTAACTACAGTGGATATATTACCTTCATTCACATATTTATATATCAAGCAAATGCCATGATACATATTGAAAATCTCACGAGCATTTGTAGCATTTCATGGTACAAATCATCAGTGAAACCAAGCTTGTGTTTACTTCCCTCTTTAAAAGCAGAYACTCTGCTTTCATGGAGTTTATTTCCTAACTTCAGAGGGGAAAAAAACCCAAGCTATAAGAATGCTTTTGTATACATTGCTACCTACTTAGTAAGTAATAATTTGATGGAATGGAACTTGTTTTAAAATCATCAATCATTTTACATTCTTCTGAAGCACACTTAATGAAAAAAATCTTATACAAAAGGTGCTAAGTTAAATAAAAAACTTCACAACATGCAAGCAATCATAGCCATTGTCTATACAACTGTATTAACTATCAGAGGTCAATCAAAACAGGAAAAAGCCTGATTTAGTAGATCATCACAATGACAAGCATAATTTTGTCAAGACTTAACCACTTCTTGTAAGGCATATTTCAAGTCTGTTTTAAAGTGGTCTTTGCAGTCCCTGGGAGGACCACTTAAAAGTCTAAAGTTACTAGTATATACGAGGGACTTTATTTCCTTGGATTAAGTTGGGTTATTACAAGGAGAACAATTATACCAATACCTTTGGTAATCTCTTAGCAGGCATCATCCCTCTCATGTCAAAGGACTGTGAAACCCAAGAACATGAGTGACTTACAGTTTTTTATCAATGCAATTGTTGGTGCTGCTCTAAATACACCTCACTGTGTTTTACAAAGAAAGATCAACATTTTATCCATACTACGCAGATGGGGGAGAGGAGTTAAATTGAGTTCAAGTTCACCTAAGGAAACAAAGATACTGACAAGGAATCCAGTTCTAAGACTGTGCACCAGAATTCACAACCCTCTGCACGTGAAAGAATGACCAAGGCATAAATCAAAACACAGGCCTCAATCATGCAGTCAGAAGCAAGTCTGCAGTCAGCAAACTCAAAGCAAGACTAGGTCTTAAAGCATTAAATCCTCTATATGCTGAAGCATCCTTGAGGCACACTCTTTGGATAACTTACAAAATAAACGCACAGAAATAGAGCAATATTTTAACAGTATCTTGATCTAGCGTTGTCAGTGTTACCTTGCAGTGATACAAACAAAAAGCTACTAATTCTCTYAAGCATTCTCCCTTACTGCTTCTTATTGGACTAGCTTGTATCCTTGGAAGTTTGACGAGTAAATTACAAATTTAAGCCAGCCAGAAGGACTGACGCGCTATATTGTTGCWACAATCTTGGCTACGGTGTTGAATCTTAGAAATTTCTTTGGAACYACAATTCTGTTAAAAGTTTCCCTGTAATAACTAAAGCTTCAAAGTAATGACTTACAGATTAACCTCCCTTAACACTACAGGGCACAGTAAATAAAGTACTGGGAGTTACCTCAAGCATATGKAAGTTTAACACTACACAAACTGCAAAAATTACAGACTTAACACTTGAACACTCTGACCAAATTTATCCTGACTTTTAAAATAAACACACACTAGTAGCACAAACCTTATCAAAGAATAAGTAAACTGTGAGGGTTATTTAAAAAAAAATATGGCTCTTAGGTTTTTCTTTTAAACAGGTTTTTGTGTTTGCTAGTTTAAATTTAATCATCTGTTATACATTCAATTCAGCCTGAAGTGGATCTATATCACTATTTCACAGAACACTTTGCGTTCTACTTGTGATCTGACCTCCTCATGCTCCCAGCTGTCTATCTGCATATTAATACAGCTCTAAAACCACCGTATCAGAACCTAATCTCTATGGCAACTGTAAGATTTGTTTACACAGAAAAAAATATTAGAAATGTATGTAAATTTAACTGTCATTTTAAATAAGTGTTTTTTCCTTCTGGGGAAAAAAAGCTCGCTATACTGCCTCCTATTTATCTTGCTTCCATTTCCTGTATCCCCACCAGGGAATGAGCCACATTTGGAAAGCTCCCTCTCAGACAACTTCAACAGTCTGTTGTTGTAAATTCATTAATAGTTTACTTTTAATAAGACAGACATGTGCAGTATTTTAGATCTCAGCCCTTTTTTAAAGAAAAATCACAGTGAGGGCAATTAAAACGATTAAAATGATTTAAAAATTATTAAAATTAAATTTWAAAAAATTAAAATTGTTTTTAAAACATACTGTCATAAAGTCACCAAAGTAGAGAAAAACCGGCTAAACCTTTAACAACTATACAGAAAGACTTCACTGCTCAGCAACTTGGGTCAATCTAGAAATTAGAAGAGTCTATTCCATTYACCATTTCCAGCAGTGAATATAGTACTGGGTACACCTTTTACATAATACTCATTCATAGACAGTAGGCACAACTCTGATAGTGGAGGAACCCACATACAGACTGTTCTTTTTTATTAATAAATACTAAAGAATTGATGTACCACAGGCTTATAACAACTGGTTTTTATAATATTTACAGTATTTAGAAATGAGATTTGCTGCCTCCCAGCAGGACCAGGAGGTGAATCACATGGGGGTCATGGTAACATAAACGGCTTGAGCTAGACATATCAGCAAAATGGTAAAAAAAAAAACCAAAAACCCAATTGTTAAAAACTACTTTTAGGCACACAGTTCTTTGCCACACACAGAAGGAATCATTCTCTTCCACTGACACAATCTTTTTTTTCTATAAAGCTTGCATAATATACTAAATATAAATAGTCTAGAAAGGTCTAAGAGAAGAAAAATACATGACAGTGAGGTACATGAATACTACACAGCACCGAGAGGAAAACTAGAACCTGTTTGAAAATCTTTCCGCACCTTACAGCAATCATTTCACTGCAGAGAATCTCTTACGTGCACCCTCCCAGATCACATCAAGATTATTCATTCAACGAAACTCCTATTAACGAATAGAAAGTAAGTAAATCTACTCTCTAGTCAAGTAAACAATGTTGTAGAGCCAGCATTTCCCCTGCAACGTTACTTTCTCGAGCGAGGTGACTGTGCCCTGCTCCTCCATGAAGCAAGCTCAGCCCAGGCAGCCATGTCCTTATTCTCCTACAAACAATGTTTCTGAAGGAGAACAACCCCTTCTCGAGGAACTTACAGCTTCCCCCAGCATAACGCGGTGGAGAAAAGCCCGCCCCACGATCAGCGAACGAGCCAAGGCACCGAAACACGGCAGCGGGAGTGAAGCAGCCCGCAGCCTGGATCTGCACCAGCACCGAGCCTCGCACCGGGGTCGGGACAGATGGACTGACAGATAGGACAGCATTTCTCCATGCAACCCTCCCTCCTTTCCCCTCCCAAGTACACGAGAGAGCCTTTTACCTTCATGATGAGCTCAGGCTGCGGTAAAAGCCTCGATCGTGGCTGAGCGGCCAAGGCTGGACCTGGAATTTAAAACAAAGCGCTAAGGCACCGCACCAGCCGTTCGCACCGGGCGGGGGGAGGGGAGCCAAGGATCGGGTGGGGGCGCTGGGCTCCTCCCGAAACTCCCCCTTTCCTTCCCCAGATCCCCTCTTTTCCCGCGGCTACCCCCGTTCCCTCTTTGCTCGGTCGCTGTTTCCCCCCACGGCTCCCACACGCCGCGGCTTCCCCTACACTCGCTGCCATTGACGCCATTTCTGTCAGAGGAGGAGAAACTTGCCACAACAACAACCCACCCCCGGCTGCCGCGGGAGGGGGGAGGCGCCCCGGCCGCCTCCCAGGGGCGCTGCGCCCCTTCCCCGGGCACCGAGCGGCGGGAGGGCACCCGCGGGGGTCCCAGCACAGAGAACAACCCCCTCCTCGCTTTAGCGCGGGGAGGAGAGAAGGGAGACGGAGAGAGAGAGAGAGGAAGGCTCTCCCTCCATTGTACGAGGAAGAGTGCCCGTGTGCGCGGCGGGGGAGCGGGGGAGCGGGAGCAGTCCCCCCAWCCCCGACACACATATACACAAGCTTTTGTAGGGGCTGCAGCTCCGGATCGCGGCGGCTCCTCCTCCCTCCGTATCCCCCCCTAAATAAAGGAAAGCGCTGACTCCGCCGCAGGAGTTTCGGCAGCAACAGCCGCAACTCCCCGGCTCGGCGCAGCGGGTCCGGGCGGGGGGAGGGAGGCAGGGGGGGCAGGAGGCGGCGGGGAGGGGGGGAAGAAAAGGAAGAAGAAGAAGAAAAGAAGGGAGCGGGGACGGGGAGGAGGAAGGGAGGGGGGCGGGGAGAAAGGGGCCCGACCTGCTCGGCGGGGACACGGAGCGTGTGTCTGAGTGTGGAGGAGGGGGCTCCGTCCCTCCCGGCAGAGGGGCTGGAAGAGAAGCCGCCGGTCCCACCCCCTGGCCCGCCACTGGGTGTTTGGGGTGGGGGGGAAGAAGGAGGATCGGCGAGTCCCGCCGCAGTCTCGCTACCAGGAGAAAAACAAGCGCCCCCCCGCCTCCCTCGCCGCCGCACGCCCGGCCCCGCGTACCCACGGGGCCCCTCGCCGCCTCACCGCCCGCCGCCGGCGGGGCACGGGGGCTCCTTCTCCAGCTCGGCGCCCTCACCTTTGTTCCGCGGCGACCGCCCGCCCGCCCGCCCGCTACTCCCCCGGCCCGAGGCGGGGGGCACGGAAGGGAACTGGGCGAAGGCTCCTCTCAGCTCCTGGAACCCCCGACCTCGCTCGACGCTCCTGCAGCGGCGGCGCTGGCGGCGGCCCCGCACGGCGCGCGGAGAGGCCGATCCGTCCTGCGCGGCCCCGGCGGCGGCGGCGGTGACTGCTCGGCTCGGTCCCCCTCCCCCTCCGCACCGATGACTGACTGACGGACGAACGGGCAGGACCACGCCCCCTTCCCCACCTCCCTCATTGGGCCGTGGCCCGCAGGGCCCACCCACCCCGCGGTCCCATTGGTCTTCGCGTCGGAAATACTGACATCATTCTTCTCCACTTCTATGGAAACTGAGACTCGGCGCCGAGAGTGCTCATGGGGGATGCTGTTCTTGCTGGCTGCTCGCAGCATTTCCGGCAGACGGCGCTGGTCTGCACTGTTGACTACAACTCCCAGAAATCACCACGTGAGAGGGCGGGGCCTCCGGCGAATAATAAGTAGTCGTGGGGCGGGATCTGCGCCTGCGCGGCGGGGCGCTCGGTGGCGCATTTTCCCCTCAGGAGGGGAAGGTGGCGCCCGGCAGGGCGGAAGGAAGGAGAGGGGCGGCGCTGCCGCTCTAGGCTCTGCCGCCGTCAACGCCGCCACTCCCGGTCCGGAGGCTGCTCGGGGGCGCGGCTCCGGCTGCCAGCGGAGGACGAGACGGCGGCGAGGTGAGGCGAAGCTGCCTGCCCCTTTAGCCGCCTGTGGCTGGTGGGCCGTGCTGGGGTCCGGGGGGGGAAGGAGAGTGGGAGCGCCCGGCTCGGAGGGGCCGGTCCGAGTCCGGCTGCGGGGGGAACGAGTCCTTGSGGCCGCCCCGCCCCGCCCAGGAGGGGCTTGTAGGCTGCCCGGCAAGGGGCCGGGGGAAAGGGGGSCGCCGGTAGTGCTGGGCGGTGCCGGCGGTAGCCGGGGCGGGTGGAGAGACTGAGGGAGCGCTCCGAGGCCGGGGCTGCGCTGGGCTGGCGGCGGGCGGCGCTTCCTGGCCCTCCCTGGCGGCTGAGCCCGGCAGCGCCGATCAGAAAATGGGGATGGATGGATGGCGGGCGGGGGGAGCGATGTGTCCTCGGCTCTGGATATCCTAAAATGGCGCTGAAGAGCCGGGGCCGCTCGTCTAGTTCTAGAGGCAGCTGAAGGGGCTGTACCTGTCATGTTGAACTCCGAAAAAAGTGAACCGTATTTCCCTCGGTCTGGCTGTGGCGGGAGTTTGGCGGCTGCGGACAGGGCGGCAGCAACTTTGTGCTCTCTTGTGAAATGTGAGTTTTAACCGCGCAACGCCGCGCTTGAGCTGCGGTCGCGGGTTTTGCCGACTCATCTTCTGTCTTCGGGTCAGCCGGCAGCTCACAGACCCTCCCTGGCTGCGTGCGAGGCCTTTGGCAGCTCAGGTATTGTTCTCTGGCTTCTGCAGCGTTCGTGCTCAATTTTACCTGGAAATCCCATTAAAATGGAACGACGATCCCAGGAGCAGTATGCTCACGCCGTTCTGGCATAAATGTTGGACTGGCGGCTATGGAAAGCTATTGTTTACATAGCCGCATCTTCGGGGAAAGAGTGTGGTTGTGTGCCTGTCCTTCCACCTGTGGGAAGCTGCCCGCCCTTAGCTTGGATGCGAGGTGTCGTTCGATATCAGTCTAGGAGGGGTTATAAACACGAGTCTCTTAATTAGAATGGGAACCTGGACTGGTGTCCAAATTACTTTTGGATTAAGTCTTATGGTAGTCTCTGAAACAATACGTATTTACTATGCTTTCTGTGTATTCCTTTTCAAACTGATCTTCTCACTCCTATGTGCTTCCCGTGGCTGGGGCTTCTTGCCCCCCGCGGGTTACAACGATGCCATTGTCTCGGTGCTCTGAGTTCTGTGATGAAGCTGATTTGAGAACTTTCTGAATGGTTCATTTTGTACTACGGCTCATTGCTTCTTTGGTAGTTGTCTTTTATCTTCTGTGTAATTGCACTATGACTGGAGCCCCTGAGATGGTGATACTCTTTAAAATACCATTTGTACATTTAGCCTGGCCTATTTCAGAGTATTGTATTCCCGTATTTGGGAGGAAGGGAAGAAGGTTCTGCAGAGGGGGATGGAGTAGGATGGGGTGAGAAGTTGTTTCGCAGAGTTCCAAAGGGAATCTGTTTCTTGACATTTAGCCTGGAATTAATATTGCTTTCATCCTCTTTAGAAAGGTCCTAGACACAGATTGTAGCTTCAAGTATAGCTTTAGAGTAGTTCCACATTGTGAAAGCACACGTCACTATCTTATCACTATCTTAGTGTCATGTGTGTTTCAAAGAGGTCTTAGAAATAAGGTTTGATGCAGTCCACAAGGTAGCTGTGTGGGCTCTCTGTTGTGAGTGTGTGCTTTTGCCTCACTCTTTATGCTTATGTGAAGATACTGAAAAATAGCTGGAAAATTAACTTTGTCATGCATGTGAATTGAAATGCAGTAATTTTATGTTCTGGTTTAAAAGGTAAAATGGCTTTAATGGCTTTAATCCTATGAATAAGCATATATGTTAATCGATTCTTACACTTCCACTAACAAAAGGCTTTTCATTCCCTTTCATTTATCAACTGCTGGCTCTTTTTATTAGGAAATAGTGTCTTGAGATCTTGTCTCTCTACACCACTGAGAAATGTTTCTCAGTGTAACAGTGTAACTTCCATAGCAAATCGGTCAGTCACTTTGGCAGGAAACCCTTAATATCAGGTATTTCCCAAGTGTGCCATATGTGATAATTTTGTGCAAAGAGCAGTAATAGTACACATCTGGTATAATGGTATTTTTGCTTAGAGGCTTTTGTAATGAATGACATTTACATGTTTCTTTATCAAGTGTTCTTTTCTTTGTGTAAGTTTGGGGGAGGTTCTGCTCACTAGTCTTGTTCCAGTGGGTGTGTTAGATGTGTAGCTGTCTGATGAATAATCAGATGGTCTCTTTTTTCTTGGTGGAGATTTACCTAAAATTTAATTTAATGATAGAATAGTAGTGTAGAAAATTTTAATTACAGTGATTTAAGATTAGTTACCATACATTCTTTGTTCATTAGAACTTTTTTGATTCCCTTTCATTACAAGGAAAAGAAAAGTGAAAAATCCCTGTACTTGTGGCAGAAGTACCTGACTAATTTTCTGTTGATATGCAGTATTTCAGGTAAACTTCTATTTTGTGCAGAAAGGGCAAATATTTAAGTTGATGCTGTACAATACTAATGAATTTCAGGTTAGTTCAGTATTCTGAATATTGTCTTACTGCTACAGTTGAGCAAGAGACCTAATGCCCTGAGAGAAGAGGGAAAACTTTAACATTTACTTTTAAGCAAGAACTTTTACAAGGAGAGCACTTCCAATCCTAACATCTCTTCTCAGCCTAGCTGGATAGCTATGCACTTTCAATTCTGTCACCATCTGTGTGGCTTTTTGACAAATAATAGTCACAGGGGAGTTGTTCGGTTGATAGTATATCCTTACATCTATCTCTATTGGATTCTTTCTGCTTAAAACATCTGGGGGTAGATTCTGATAATCTTTTTGATTTTGCTTCCACACTGAAGTCCTTTGAGACTTACTCTTTATATGTAAGGTACAGTTTGACAGCTAACTTTCAGTGGCAGTGCTGCTTGAAAGCACTTCGCTTACAGCAACAAGCTGGCAGCAAAATAAGGAGTCAAGGGTGTAAAATCTGGATATTTAGATTAGTGTGTGGCCTGACTGCTAGTTGTGCTGGCATACCATGGATAGGATGGAAAGGCTGTACTGCTTATCACAGCATCACTGCCAGAAACTATACAAAGCTCTCCCAAAAGGTGTAGTCTTATTACCATTTTGTTGTCAACTATATTTGTTTAAGTAACCTTTTTTGCCTCTGAAATGCCAATACATTTGATGAACATACGCAGTGAAACAAATAAAAGAGTTGATCTAAATCTAAGCATGGAAAATAGTTATTAACACAGATCAGTTTATGAGTGTGTACAAACTGCTATAAATGCTTATGGTGTGGAGGGTGGGAATAGGTATGGACAGGAATTGATTGAGCTATACTCTCCCAGCTTCTTGGGTACCTGTTCCCTGGCAGAGCATGAGAAACTGAAAAGTCCTTCACTTACAGTGAGCACCACTTAGCAAAAGCCGAAACATTAGTGTGTTATCAACAGTATTCTCACACCAAGTCCAAAACACAGCACAGTACAGCTACTGGGAAGAAAATTAGCTCTATTCTAGCCAAAACCAGGCCATTAATTTACCTAACTATTCACTTGCTCCAGAGGGAAAAAAGTAAATCCTTTGCAGGACACTAGCAAAGTATCTGAGAAATGCTAATGAAGTAACATGAGACTTTATGCTACTGCTGCAGTTCCTGTCTTAAAATTACTTGAGAAGAATTGCTTTGAGCTACTACATCTGCAGTGCAGCAAGGAAAGCTAGAGGTGAAAGGACAGGAAATCTATTACAGAAAACAGTCTGAAAAAAATGCAGATAGAGATGATCAAAAGTATGTGAATTTAAGCTAATAGAAAATTTTCAAGCTCTGTGGGTCCTGGATCCTAAAAGATTTATCGTAAGAGTCTGTTACGTTTATAGTGTATGGGAAACTGTGTGGAGCTGTCTGTATGCTTGAACAGTGGAAGGAAAATGGTATATTTCTATTTTGATTTACAATAAAAGATTGAGGTGTCATATGAAAAGACTGAAGCTAGTGTTTTTCTTCTTTGGGTTGCCTTGTTCTGAAGTGTGTTTTCTGCTCTTAGACACTTCTACTTTTGTGTCTTGGGTTGATTTTGTGCCAATCCTGTATTCTTATATTCCGTCAGCTTGTATGCCCAAAAGGTGCCTGTACCTTTAAACGCGACCCGGAAGAAGGGGCAGGGGCAGCTGGGAAAGTAGCGGGCAGTTTAAAGCCAGGGCTGCTGTGCACCCATTTGCTTTTGGACCTCAGCTCGGTGCTGCAGGAGCCCTGCTTGTTGCGTGCAGGGGAGTTGTTGCCGTTTAGCTAGCTTATGTTTGTTAGCTTGGGCAAACAGCTCTCTCTGCTACCCTCTTCTGCGACTCCTGTGATTTTTTCCTCTGGAGCAATTTGGCGGCCAGCGGTGACAAGCGGCGCCGCTCCGTCTCATCCCGGAGAAGAAGCCAAGCCGGCGACAGAAAAGCTCACCAAGCCCTCTGTTTCATCCACAGGAAGGAGAGGACTATCATCAGGTTTTCCACTGTTGCCAGAGCGGGCACATGGATTTTTTTTCTTTTATTTCTTTTTTCCCAGGGACAGGAGCCACGCCATCTTTTTTCTCCGCAGCATGTGGCTGAGAAGCTGTGGGGGGGGAGGACTTTTAAATATCTAACAGTTACTTTTTATCTGTGTCCTGTGTGCACTGTGTTTTGTTAATAAACTACTTTATTTTTCTCTTCACTTTTGCCCAAACATGTATTTCCTATTGGTGGGAAAAAATTACCTATTTTTTTTTTTCACTTCAGAGGAAACATTTACTCTGTCACATTTTTCTCTGAAAACATTGTCTCAAACTGAGACATGTTTGACTGGAATGTCTAATATATGGGGAACGTGCTTAGGGAGATCTGATCAGATTTGTCATATGAGGATTTGTATGTGGGGTTTTGTATGAGTGTTTTTAAAGTCTTGCAATGGAGCCTCATTGTTGTGAATGGTAAAGTTTTAAATACTTTATTACCTAAGCCATCTAATACGTACAAGAAAGTAAACAAAGTCTAGGAGCTGGCTTAAACTTCATGAATAATTAAATAAAACTGTATTTAGTGTGTATTATATGTGTTCCCTTGGTAAATGACATCTGGAAATCTTTTATGTACTGCAGGTGTCTTGTGCAATATTGGAGTATTTGCACCTAATCTGTAAGTTAGCTGACTTTTTACTTACATTTATCTATTGTTTACTTCCCTATTTTTTAATCTAAATAGTGCTTATAACACTTTCTTTGACAGTGAACTACGTCTTAGGAAGTAAAGAAATGGATGGGATGGATGAAACATCTAAAAGAATCCTAGAGCCATACCAGTATTTGCTTCAACTACCAGGCAAGTTTCTTTGTACTCTGTTGTTTTTAAATGTAAAAATTGGTTTTATAGAATTTTTGTCTTGGGAAGTGAGGCCAAGAAATTTTTCTATTCTTGATTTGTGGATTTAAGAGTACCGAAAAATAAAACTTTTAAATTTGTAGAAATATCTTTTTTTTTAGTGAAATTGGTACAACAGCTATTATATCTGTAGTATAAGTAATATTTCAGTTATTCTATTCTCCAGGAAAGCTGATTTGTTGCTTTTAAAAACTGATAAGAGCAAGTACTGAAGACTTGATCCTGATTTTAAACTCGGGGCTGACAATGTTTTGTTCTTTAGTTGCTAGCTGTACTCAGCTCAGTGGGCTGGGGATTTTGTTTGTGGGGGTTTTGTTTGAGGTATTTTTGTTTGGTTAGGGGCACTTTGGGTTTTTTTTTGTTTGTTTGGGGATTTTTTGGTTGGGTTTTTTTTTTTTTGTTCTTTTTTTGTAATTTATTCTCCCCAGTATCTATAGAGACAGGTGCTCTTATGGACAATTTCAGCTGTCCATGATTCATGGCTTGCTCCACTTGTCAGATGTTAACCAGTCCTTGCGTAGTAACAAGTCACCAGCAATACATTCACATCAGTCTTGAATAATACAGCAGAATTCAGGAGGCAGTTTGATAGCAAACTGCTGTATGGATATGGTCCTTGGAAGCCTCCTTGTCTAAACAGATTGTTTGCTGTGACTTTTACTTGCATCCTTAACGTGTAAGGAAGATTATATAGGCTATCAAAGAGACAAACTTTATAAAAATAGTGGCAGAACAGCTTTTTTACGGAACAGTAATTAGGAGCATTGCATAATTCCTTGGTTGCCTTCTTTCCAGCTTATATTGCATGCTGAAATACTTAAGGAAGATACAAAATTTGGGTAAATATTAAGGAAATAATCTATTAATTCATATTATATTATATTATATTATATTATATTATATTATATTATATTATATTATATTATATTATATTATATTATATTATATTATATTATATTATATT